CCTTGGACCATTTTATTCCCATTAGAATGGTTTCTGGTCCACTGCCCCAGAATCATAGTTGTGTTTCACATTTAAAGCTCTCTACAAAAATCTCACTGATAATATTATGAGGGTATTACAATTACTTTCAAATAAACTTCTACATAAATGATCCTTTTGGCAGTCAAATACAATGGGTGATACTATTAAGGGTCCTTTCATACTTTTTTGTAACTTAACTCCTCTTTCTTCTTTTCTTTCCTCTCCTTCTCTCTCTCTCACTTTCTTGGGAGGTTTGCCAAGCCGCAGTCCTGGAATTTCTGGAACAAATTCCCTTGTCTCCACTATTATTTATACCTCTGGAAACAAAGTTTCAGACAACAAAGTGTCTCACAGGAAAGTAAAGTCACTGTATTGCCAATACTTGCTGGATGATTCTTTTATTTCTCAATGTTTTCCTTCAGTCACTCTTAATCATGTAGACACCCACTCCCCGTATCAGTTGAACCAGGTTTCTTTGTTTATTATCATAGATCTAATAATATTTTTCAAGTGTAAGATTCCTTCTTTTGTACCTGTTTTTTCTTACAAAGGGACGTATACAGATTCTTAGCCCTTTTATTTAAGGCTTTGGTGTGGTAGTTTTTTGTTTAGCAAGTATTCACTCCTTCCTCCACTGTGAGCCTGGCAATACGACTTGCTTTGGCTAGTGGGGTGTTAGCAGACTGTATGTGAGCCAATGCTTTAACTATGCTTGTGTAATAGGCTTATCCTCTTGTGCTTCAGCCATCACAATGAAAATAACATACTCTGGGTAGTTCTGTCCTATCCCCTGGGCCCCAGAATGAACATGTGAAGCGGACATACCCTAGCCAACCTGGTAATCTATGGCCTGAAGAAGCTGGCCCAGCCAACCAGAAAACACTTATGGGAGAAATAAATGCTTATTGTTATATGTCACTGATTTTGCGGTTGTTGGTTACATACCAAAAATTGACTGTTACGTGGAGTAACAGTAAATGGGAGACCAGGCGCTACCATTTACCAGTTGAACTAGAATATCTGTATCTGTAAAATGAGAGGTTTGCATTCCCCAAGTTATTTAACAAGATTTAAAACTCATGATTCTCAAGTATAGCACTTCCCACAGTATATTTCAAGAAAATAGGTCAAAATATAACCACTATGAAATGAACGCTAGAGAAGGATGGAGAGAAAAGGCATTCTAGAATCTCTCTGATTAATTTTATTTTTCTAAAGCAGAAAGAAGAGAATTTGTTTAAATGTGTTCAATATAGAACTCTGAAGGGTCTGCTGAGAGGAAGAAGTATGTCAGGAGAGGAGGCTTCCAACCCAGTTGACTGCAGGCTACCGAGAGGATAACATGCTACCTTTTCCCTGTCAACCTTCAGGGAGGTGGACTTACAGATCACATGCAGGCTCTACTCACTCTGCACTCTCTAAGAACAGAGTATTTTCAGTACCTGGCACAATATTCAACATGTATGGGGAAGAATAAGATTGAATGAAAAATGGAAACTACAGAGCGTTTAAATGGGAATTTTCATTTTCTCTCCTTGCTTTTCCTTGAGTGATTTTAATTTTCACATAGAGATTCCTGCTTTGCATGAGAGGCTGGTGTGTGCCACATGTAAGTTTCTACCCAATCCTAAGATATCATGATGTCATATAAGAACAAGTTTGTTTGAAGCATTCATGTGTAAGAACCTCAGAGACCCCTTTGTTAATGGCAGATACTTTAAGAGCTCTAATATCCCTTAACTTACCTTTCTAAAAAAAAAAAAAAAAAAAAAGCTGAAACCTCTTTAAATACTTTTTGTACCTTTATTAGACACTTACTTAAAAATTTCCTTTGACTACAGATTTCCTCTAGTTATTCCATTTCCATTTGCATGTATGCCATGGAATCATTTCCACAAGGAGCATACATTTCTAAAATCAAATTTGCTAATTGGCAAATTTAATACAATGAAATTATTTTTGAGGAGGACTTTAATATATGTTAAAATTTGTCATTTAGGTAATATTTATAAAGCAGGAAATGTTCTTATGTAACATGACTGAAATACTCTGGGGAGCTCTGAAATCACTTTTTCATTAAATAGAGCTGAAATTATGTGAACAACTAGAACATGAGAAAGAAAAGAGGAAAACAAAGTATGGAACACTGGGGAATGAGAAAATAGACTGCAAAAGGAACAGTGATTTGTTCAAGGTTACCCAGTGAGTGAGGAACAAAGGGGAGAGTTGAGCCTATGCCAAGTTCTAAAGCATATCTACTTTATGGCTATGAGCTCAAACTGCCATTTTCAATAGATAATGTATTCGTGTTTATTCTACATGGAGGAAGATATTCATATTTGCCATCCTCTCACGGTCTAGCATGTGTTACTTCATAAGTGTTTATTAAATAAAATGATAAATAAACCCCTATCAACCAGAAGTCACCAAAGCACGATTTCACATACATAATCTCATTTGATCCTCACAACCACCTCCAAGATAGGTATTATAATTGCACTCTTACACATTAATTTAAGTCTGGAAATATTAAATGAATTGCTCAAGAACACACTGCCATGAGAACTGGGACCATACCAAGCTGCTCAGCAAACCTCTCTAAAGATCATACTTTTAAGGAAGCTCAAAGAGGTTTGCAGTAAGTACTAAAAAGTTGAAGATCTTTAAAAAGCCCTTTGAAGAATGCAAAGTCAGATACAAAGCTGATATTTAAGGAAATGGGAGCAATTTGATTAATTTGCTATATGTGGTTGATTTTACTGGCTAATTAGTTGAGATACCAATTGAGCATGTCTGTACAAAATCCTTAGATTCTATCGATAAATTATTCGTACATGAGGGCATCTGGCAATTAAGCCACGAGAAGCCTAATAGAAGGCTTTGAAATCATATAGATCTACCACAAGAAAGCAGTCTGATTTACAAAATCAAGCCTCTGTGCTCCATGTCTACTTCAAAGTACTGCTCACTGCTTTGCCAAGGAATAAAGAGATTTACTATAGTAAAGACACAAAATTTCTTAATATATACATGGATCCTGCCCCAAGCGTATTGAAGCCTCTGTGACAAGTTGTCTTCCACCTAAAGCTCCATGTAGCAGAGGAGTAACTAAGCAAACTTTGTTCCCAAACTGAGAGGCTCAAAACTCGGAAGGGAAGAAACATAAGCAGCAGCATGATAGGAGTTAAGTAAGATCTCAAACTCCACAGTCAGGCTAGCTAGGTTCATTCTTGACTCTGCCTTTTACTGTGCAGCCTTAAGAAAGTTACTTAACCTCCTTATGACTCAGTTTCTTCATCTGTAAAATGAAGAAATTAACAGTACCTATCTCATAGGGTTGTTATGAGGATTAAACGAGTTAATATTTGTTAAGTGCTTAAAACAGTGTCAGGTATACAGTAATCCCAATATAAATGTTTGATAAGTAAAGAAAGGTAGAGTGAGAGAGAGAATAGTGGACACCACATATCTTTAAAGCACTGCTTTCCTTCCTTCTAACAAGTAATTTACTTTCCACAGCTGAGGCCACTTGATTCCTATCAGTCAGCTTAACCCCATTTCCGGTATGACCCCAAATGACTCTTGTTCAGAAAGACTTAAGAAGCCCTAGTTCAGTGGTTCAGGTGATTCAGCATAAGTCAATCTGCTGTTATTCTTGTCCTGATCCTGCGTCCCAGTTTTAGTGACTTGTTCGTGTAATCAAGTCCCAACCTTGTACTCCAGTTAGCATTCTGTTCCCCTGTGGCTGAGTCCTGGCTTGCAGAACTGCTCAGGACCCCTACTTTCTTTGAGGAAGAAATCTCCCAAAGGGCAAGCTCTAAACTAGACATACTTTGTTTGGCACACAGTGTTTGAACTTTTGAAAATTAGTTGCCTGTATTTAAAAATTGCAAGCTTTTACACAAAATTTGACTTTTCTTGAAAAAACTGGATGATATGGCAACACTTGGTCCCCATTTCCCCTTGGTACCAACCCACTGGAGCCAAGTGGCAGCTGCCCCCTTTGGAAGGCCATGTGCTCTCTATTCCAGTCTGTCCCCATGTCTCCGGTTCAGTTTGTTTCTATGATTTGCTCACCAATGTGGTCTACTGCCACTCTCCAATCTCCCCTACCCAGACAGACTTTGTTGTCAAGGATTTTGGGGGCCGGCTCTGTGGCTGAGTGGTTAAGTTCATGCACTGCACTTTGGCGGCCCAGGGTTTTGCTGGTTCGGATCCTGGGTGCGGACATGGCACCGCTTGTCAGGCCACATTGAGGTGGTGTCCCACGTGCCACAACTAGAACGACCCACAACTAAAATATACAACTATGTACTCGGGGGATTTGGGGAGAAAAAGCAGAAAAAAAAAAAGATTGGTAACAGTTGTTAGCGCAGGTGCCAATCTTTAAAAAAAAAAAAATAGAAATTTGGCCATCACAGTGGTTGTAGTTCAGTTACAAAATCCTAGGCTTTATGATCTGCCTGATCCTATTATCTCATGATCCGTGATTTTATAAAACCATACATTTCATTATATAAAGAGAGACTTTACCCTTACAAAACTTCTGCTCCACTTCTTATTAGAAGCCCAGCAAAACCCATAAAATATTTGTTGATCACTTATGCTCTGGGCTCTGTCATTGAAACTGATTTGAATATTCCTTTACTAAGAAACCCAAAGAAGTTTTTTCATCTCTTCTATAAGCAATTCACTCTCTTTTCTGAGAATCAGCTAGGAAACTAACATTATTTGAAGACAATTTGCTAGTTTTTTCTCAGGAGAGGGCGTTGTGCTTCACAAGACAACGGAAGAGGAAATTGTTTGTGACTAAGGCAAGATTCAGCAAATATCAAAAGAAAACTCTCAAAAGCCATTCTACACATCATTTCTTAAGATTATCTGGATTGGATAAAACTGAATATGCATTGAATTTTAAATTCAGCTGACTAAGTTCTACCATAGTTTTTAAAGAAAGTCTTAATAAAAATGTTACTTACATAAGGAATCGTGTCCAAAGTATCTGTGTTGACAATTATAGGAGCAGGGCTAGCCTGAAAAAGAGAAGTAGACAAAAAAAATTTAAACAGTAAGTAGTCTACTCTGACATAGGATCTGTTAACTTATTTGATAAAGAGCTCAACAGTATTTCTTGAAGACCTGTGTAGGCACTGTGTCAGGTATTGGTGAGATAAATGTAGGGGCTCAGAGTTCCCAGTACCCTCCTCCCTTCACATATTTGTTTGCTACATATATCACACAATGAAATGAAATAAGCAATAGAACTTACACTCATTTTCTTTTAAATTCTACCCAACAGTGTAGGAGGTGAGGATTTGTGCTGTGCATAGGGCAAGGATTTCTAATAAATTGGGTGAGAGTTAAAATTTGTAACATTTCTTTATAAAATGGCTGTACTAAAGAAATTTGACTTTTCTCTCATGGAAGAAAAATTAAACCTAAACTAATATTTATAACTCTTTTCTCTAAACTGCCTTTTGAGAGTACATTATATTCAGTGCACAATAGCAGGATCCACTTATTGACATTTTATATGTGTTCTTCTATTATGCATGCTGTATCATATCTTTTCTTTGTCATTTATGCATCTCTGATCACATAGCTTAGAAATCCTTAGACAGAAAATTAAAAATTAGTCAAAGATGGCAGAAAATCATATTGGACACACTAAACTTTCTTTTTTAAACATATTTTGCACAAACTGCAGTCATTCTCTTTAAAGTTGAGTAGGAATCTCTGTAAAACTGATAGAGGAGCACTACAAGCCAAGTCATTAGAAAATAAGAGATTGCAATCTCTGTTTGCATTAACCAATCTGACTTCATGAATATTGAGTAGATCTATCTTTATTTTCTAGTTTCTAGAATTTTCAAAGCAACTTTTCCTTCCTCCCCCGAAGGATCTTTAATCTCCTTCCCAAATTGCAGATTTCATTTAGATAGAGGAAATACTCTCATCATGATTAATTGAGAGCTGTCCTATATGACACAGTGGTTTTGGCAAGTGCTCCACTTTCGGGACATTTCATTAGCCGTGCCCTCTGGAGTTAACGGAGTTAACAGCTTTTTAATGTCAATCTGTGCCTATGGAATCCTAATCGAGTTATAAAACAAATGGCAATCCAGCAGATTTTACAAAACAAAATTACATATTTTAACTACAAACATTGGGCATTGAGAACATGACCCTGGTCTGCATATCTGCACGGTGGGTCTACAATTGCACTAAAGAGAACTGAGTAGACCTTGTGAATTCCCATTTATTAAATACATATTACTGGCGCATATATAAGGATATCCATATATATCCTCATCTAATCTCCACCAAACCATACTGATGTGGCACTATTATCACTATTCTTATGTTATAGATGAGAAAACTGAGGCTCAGGGAAAATGAGAGCTGACATTTAACACTGGCCTTTCTGACATCAAAATTCATTTTTTTTCTGCAGTAAGCTGCTCTCTGAGCCCAATACTTAGGTGGCTCCCTCACCTGAGTCCTTCAGTGACTGGAGAGCTCTAGCTAGAGCATGATATAAGATCCAGGCAAAGCAAAGACCACTCTGAAGGCAAGAGATGCCTCAGGGTCTTGCATATCAGATGTTGAAAGCAACCTGATGATGACTTAATGACTTTGTTGTTGTTTGTTTGTTTCTTAGTTTTGATGATGTATCTTCTATGCTTTCTAATTGGTTCCCAGAACTCCCAAAAGCATTTGTGCCTTGTCTACTTGACTAGACTGAAAACTTTCTGAGTATCATACCCAATACTTGTATTTCCCTTTATTATCTAATATAATTTGATCAATAAATATGCATTGATTTGATTTGGGACATTCAACCCATCTTACTTTTGTTTTTCTCCTGTAGATTGCATTAATGTGGTCTGGGAAATAATAATAATTTTATACATAAGCCCAATTCCTATACAATGTCATGTATCACTTTTGTATATTAATGTTGCTATTTTCCATTTCACATGGGTAAATTTGGTCTTTCCAATCAGACTCCAGGTTTAAAAAATGACAAGGATTGTGTACTTTCCTAAAATTCTTCACAGCATTTGGGTACACAAAAGGAACTCAGTAAATACCAAGGAATTATTGACTAAATGTAGCTCTAAAGTGTAGGTGAAGGTATAAAGGAAAGTAGTACCTCTGTAAGTTTTGAAGAGCATTTCTAAGATAACCCCCAAATCTCTCATATTACCAACATGACTGACTACTTTTGCAATATCCACTACCACCTTCTTTCTTTAACCAGTCACTGTTACTTGAATATCCAGCTTTTACGAAATAATAGTTATTTCATAAGTACAGGATGTAGAGGCTGTAAATCTTAAAGTATAATCTCTTATGCGAAAAGCTCATTGCTCCTTCTCATGCTAAAAAGATCCAGAAGCCACAATTAATGCCTACATCTATAAAAATCACTAAAAATGCACAAACAAACAGGATATGTGGATTGTGTGAACACAGATATACATCTGACATTGGCAACTCCCTGGCGTGAGTGCCAAGGAGACGTCTTGGTGGGCTGTCCTGAATAACACACTATCCCACTCTGCTGCCACATCAGGCTCTCTGAATATCCCCCATTGCTCTGCTCCAAACTCTCACAGGCCTCCCCACACTGTTCTCTCAGAAGCTTCTTGGAATCTTTTAGGTACTCAACAGCATATATCAGCAGAGAATAAAAATCCCAAGTGGTAGCAGCACAGAGTGCAGTAAAATTCCAAGTATGGCCCATGAGTGTGCTCTTCCCACCAGATGTTAATTTCAGGTCTTCCCTTGGCTCAGCCTGGCTCCTGCTTCTTTTCTCACTTTTGAAATCATGTGAGTCCATGCCTAGTTTGATCAAGTTTGGTTTCTGAGTCTTAAAAACAATTCCCTGGTTACTTTGATGGTTTCTTCTAAGCTCTGTCTTCACACTTGATACTGCCCTGCTGTACACACTTTCTCTCTCCACATTAGATATCCTCTTTAATTGAACCCCTAAATCAAACTAGTGACTTAGCAGACTCCAGCATCCCCCTTCAATATGCTTTTCATTAACTAGAAAGAGATTTGTAACAAATATAAAAAAAAAAAACTTTCAATCAGAAGCTTCAAGGCTTGTCTTTATGTATATCTAGGCAAGGATTTTTGAAACCATAAAGGCTTAAGAAAATTAATCTCCCTTGGGCAACCCAACTATAAGATGTAAATAGTTTGCTTTTCATATTACAGTCTCTTCCACGGGGAGAAAGCCAGTTTATAGCAAGAGGGAAAGATAAACCTAATCATAGAGAAGCCAGAAGCAAGCAGAGGGAATACTGATAAAATTTAAATTATTAGATCAAGTTATTCATAAATTCCAGCCACCTTCCTCTCCTTGGATGTCATGGGATACCTAAATATTTTAATCTTACGTAAATTACATTGCTTATGCTAGTAAAAGATAAACTTCTGTTGCTTGCCACCAAGAGAATGTAATTAATAATCTGACATAATGAAGGCAAATTTTCAAAGGAGTTCATTGATTCTGACTGATGTGGTTACTTCTTGACATTTGTTAAGTGCCAGATCTTGGAAATACCGCTGATATAAATGGTCACATGGTCACCAGGCCAGCTACAGTGAGGAAGCCTCTTCAGGCAAGGTGTTTGGTGTTGGCAGGGGAGGTATAGTAGCCAATTAGCTAAAGAACACACTCTGGGAGGCTTACATCTGACAAGTGCAAGCTAACCAGTGAGGGGTCAAAAGACTGAGTCCCTGCCTATACCTAAACTTTCAAGAAGCAAAGCAGAAAAGAAGAGAAACTCACACAGTCAAGTGACCCAGATATAGCAGGAAGTGAACAATAACATTGATAGGCTAGGAACTGTACAGGGATTTCAAATGACCTGGGACATGCAAGTAGAAGGTAGGTGGTTCTCAGTAGGCCAAATTAAACAGGAGGTAAAACATGGCAAGAATAACATGTGAGCTGCTTTGGGGGCCCAGTGTCTTTGGCTTATCTTCTCAGCCTTAAACAAGGCAAGAAGTAACACAGCCTTAAAGGAGTGGGAACGAAGTAACACAGGCCCTATAAATGACTTTTACATATGGTATGGCCTGACAACTTGAAACAAAATAGAAACCACTGAAAGTTTTAAAATGAGTCCATTTGTGTGTGTATGTGATTATACTGAGAGAGCCGGAGATCCCAGAACCTCAAGGTAAATATTAGCTGGCTTAGATTGGCTGCTACATGATACCATATTAACAGTCTTTTAGCTTCACAATTCACACAGAGGGCTGCCATCAGGGTGAGCCCTAATCAAACCATGTGCTAATCCTAACCAGGGAAGTAGAATATTAGGGCTACTAACCACATATCCAAACAGGTCTGAAATGAATTGGTATGCTAAGGAGTGAACTCAGGATAATTTTATTTTGTATTAGATTTTCCCCCTAACCCTCCATCATATTGGCCCATTCTGGAAATAAAAAATGTGATGTGGTTGAGAGGGGGCCTTCTGCTTCAATATCCTGCCTCTAGTTTTCTACCAGCCCTGAAACCCTTTCTTTCCTCTCCTTCTTTCCTACAATCTGTTGGGCTAGAGCCCCACATCCCTAGGTATTAGCAGGGTCCTCCTCCTACTTGAAAGATTTACCAGGAACTTGTAGTTGCCTGGCTGAGTATCATCACTATCTGGAATCGCTCATGGTGCTATGACCCAGAAACACCTAAATCTCCTGATATATTAGCACTGGGATGGATAATAATTAGGGCAAGCACTTATATAACACTTATTTTACATCAATTAACTTATTTAATCCTCATATAATCCAATGAGGCAGATAACTTTTATTCTCAGTTTACAGGTGAGAAAACAGAGGTTAAGCAACTTTCCAAAGTCACACGTGTGGTAAATAGATCATCTTCAAACCCAAACAGTCTGACTCAGGGTCCGTGCTCTTGACAATCATGTTCTCTTGCCTCTCAAAGTGGAATCAGACTTTACCGGAATTCTTTGCATTCTAATTTTTACTGCTCATCAACAACTCA